CTTCCCGATAAGCCCTTCGTGACCACTAGTACCATCGCTAGAACTCTAGATGGTATGCTTATAACTCTTAAACTAGCGGAAGATGTTCCAGAACAGAGGAATGAGCCACGCATATTAGATGCACGAGTCATATTTGGAAATTGGTTTCTTCAGGTTGGTGTCCTTGGCCACACTGTGTACATTGACGAGACTGGGTATAACATATGGACCCGTCGGTCTTATGGTCGCGCTCCTCGTGGAGAGCCAGCAAGGCGTGTCGTCCATGGCCAGAGAGGCAAGCAAGTCAACATCACGTTTGCCATTTCTGGTGAGGTTGGACTTGTGGCTCACAGAATATCATCAGAGACTGTAACGAGAGCGACTTTTGAAGATTTCTTAGCGACGACTGTACAAGAATGCGGTATGTTATTCCCGGCAGGCGAACGCATATATCTGATATATGACAACGCTCGTCCTCATATCCGAGCCCAACTACCCCCTGATGCCGGCAATTTCACCATCAAGTTGCTACCCCCATACTCGCCATTCTTAAATCCTACGGAAATGGCGCACTCAGCTTTCAAGGCGGGAGTGAAGCGCACGCTGGGGCTTCCTGAATGGCAGGACAGATTTGGAGACCAATACGCAAGAGTCCAAGCTGGTGTGAACCTGCAAGTCTGGAGATCCCTTCGTCTCCAGGAGGTGGCTGCACTCAACATTGGAGAGGTGACACCTGCGAAATGCACCGCCTGGTACAACCATTCTCAGACATATCTCCCTCGATGTCTCGGTAGACAGGTCATTGAAGGATAGACAATCGAACTGATAAAACGAGAGAGAACCTTAAGAAATACATAAAGAAATTAAAATACAATTAAGATAATGAACCAACAAAACGTCCCCATGCAGATCCCATGTAACATGGCACGTGATGTGTCCCTTTACCGTTTTAATAATATGGCTACATGATTATTTTTATTGATTTCATATTGGTCATATTTATATCATTTTCACATTTCATTTGCCTACATTTCACATAGGCCTTTGTGTATATAAGAACAAACACATTAATGATCAATAAGGCATACATTGATTAATTAATGAATCAAAGTTGTATCATGATTTTTATAGGCCTGTAAAATTTATTTAAATTGAATGCAGAAAATGCGAATTTAAATTGTAACAAATGAAAAAGAATGTTCAATTCAGCCAGTGTCACAATAGACAATCGATTATCTGCGAATTGGATTGCACATTCGTAATAATCGGCAACGCATACGTCAAACCGAAAACCTAATCACGTATTTTAAATCCCTTAAATGAAACGCTATGCACATTCATTCATTTGATTGATGCAAAATGAAATTGAATGCTAGTTATTGCGAAAATGAAACCAGGATGTACGTCGTTCTCAAACTCGGCGCCAAATTGAATTTATGTTTTACAAATTCAAACGCACATTTTCCGAAATTGTCCGGGAAAACCTATATTAATAGGGCCCTGTAAATGAGACACGTGTTCAAAAATCTTTTTTTACCTCTTGTATCATTTTAATTTACCTCGTTTTTTTAAAAATCGCTCGTGGTAAAAAGTGTGTGTGGGGGGGGGGGGGGGGGGGGCAAAATAGCTACCTATTCATTCTGCCCCCCCCCGGTTCCGCCGCCGGTGGTGTAAGTGGCAAATCAGAATCAGCCACCGATTTCGTTGATTTTGTTGACATGGCTGTAACGATATTAGTCCTGCCTGGCCTAAAAGTATAGGAGCAGGGTGATCAATGGAATTATGAATGTAGAACAGGTGTTATGGAGACGAGCAATGTAATGGTATTTGGCTGTCAAGTTGTCAGACCTCTTGTTTCCTGTCAACCTGCTCAGACGCCATCTTACATTATTTGTATGCGCCCATAGGGAATTATGTGGTACTAGCGGGATGCCGCGCTTCGCGCGGCACCCGCTAGATGGGTGGAGTTGACTGTTTCGTAATAATTATTGTATACAGTGAAATCTCGATAATTTAAACTCCAATAACTCCAAACAACTGTTAAGTCAAATAAAGAATCAGACGCTCTGCTGCACGCGAGCCTATTTGGACTCGCCATCAGTCTCACCTAAGTTGTATTTGCGTTTAGCAACGTGCGCGCACATAACGTTTCCTGCGGAGATTGTGCGAGGGTGCAGGAAATATTGTTAATATAGGGGAAGGGGCTAGCTAGGGTGAAGGGTGCTAGTCGGAACGCCCAATTTCCGTACAACCCGTCAACCATGTCACAAATATTTCCGGGGATGGGGAGAAATATTTCCAGGGACGGGGAGAAATGGTTTTTGTTATAGAGGGGAGATGGTGATATTGAAAGCGCTGATATTGTGGAGGTTTATGTTTATGCTGGGATTCATACCGTTTAAATGTTGTTTTAAATTGCGCACCGATTAGGAAGGTCTTGCTGTCAACAGTTGAATGAAATTAAGTATTTATTGCCGACCGATTGTCTCATGCGATGTCTCATTACATGTATATAAAGCTCATAACTAATGTTGTGCTGGAATATTGTCCAGTCAAATTGAACATTGATTTTTCAAGGTGCCAAACCATAAAGGACGTATACACCAACTGTACAATTAGGTAATTTAGATGAAACGCGGTTTGATCTTGGCCTATACAACGTCGTATCCATCGTTCTCACTACAGAGGAGAGGAGGGGGAAGCTAGTGGGGGTGGGGGTTGGATATTGTGTGGCCTATTTACATGGGCGTCGCCAGAATTTGTTTTCTAGAGGGGGCAAAACATATTTTTGCCAAAAAAATGCCTGTTTTTCTCAACACATTCTCCATTTATCAGTTTTAGAGGGGGGCAGGGACATTTTGCCCCCCAACTCATTACATTTAAAATTAAACTCATTTTTCCCCTTTCCCCCCCCCCTTTTTTTTTTGCTTTTCCAGGGGGGGGGGGGGGCAAGTGCCCCCCCCCCCCCTTGCGACGCCCATGCCTACTTATGTTACACCTGTGAATGGTCACTTATATTTCCGGGGAAGTGGGCAACAATTTATATTCGTTATGGTGAAGGGGGTGTGTCTTATGTATTAAGTAGTAGTTAATGTCATTATAGCAGTTGGTGTTTTTATTATGGTGATGGGGTTGTAGAGCAAAGTATTGTAACACGTTTATTTGCAGAAGAGAGTAAAACTATAAGAAAGGACATATTGGAGCACTTCATAATTATGTCAAGCACCACATGTTAAATGTATTTATTACAAAACTGTGACAATGAAATCAGGTACAATGCACACACGAATTTTTTAGTAATAATGTATTTGCATTCATTACAGGGTAGTACTTCGACAAAACTCAGTGGATATAATTGTAGTAAATTTTCGGAGCGATTTTCGCAAGGGACGTCGGTCCAGGCTTGTTTAGCATAGGCAAAAACATTCCATGAAAGACTTTCAAGCAAGACGGGTAATCATTCCATAATTATTCTTGGGTACAACTAAGCCAAGGATATAACTTTAAAAAGGATGGACATAAAACAGCAGAAAAGAGTGATTATTTTTGCACTATTTCATTTTCATGACTTCTAAATAATAAAATTATGGCTAGAAGAAAAATGTGTTTTGAATGGGTAAAGAGAAAAAGCAGGAATCTTGCAGTTGAACTGGAAAGAATAGGTGTGTCACGTCTTCGTCTTGAGTTGAGATTCTTGCTTTGGGAACTGGTTGAAGCATGCACTGGAGCATGCTTGGAGCATGGTTGGAGCTGGTCATGTGATGTGGGTGTCATCGGGAGTCCTGTCAAAAAGGAGTAACAAAGAAAACTTGTAAAAAAAAATACATCGGCTAACAATAGCTACAAATAAATTGTTCCTGCACGGTTTGTGCCTTACGATTCTGCGCGCCGTGCGTGCTCACAGCACATCGCGCAGTAATCGCCATCTTTATTTTCGGGTTGCGTGTTTTCGCTGTGCTGTCATCGTAATGTCCCCCCCCCCCCAAACATGCCAAATTTCTCTATAAAAATCAAAACCCTGCCCTCTATCTATGACATACCTGTTTATTGAGAATGTCTCCAACTATTTTGGTCGGGCTTTTTTAAAGTGGATTTTGTTCCCTTATAGGAACCGGGCCTACTACATACTAAATACTACACGATCGCCATGTCCCAGGCCCACGCGATTGGGTCACACTTTTCACAAACAACAATTGTCATTGCCAGCAGTGGTGTTCGAAAGAATACTTATAATCCTTTGCCAGAGGTGTTCGAAAGAATTACTACTAACTATAATCTATAATGTGTCATAGCACAAATCGGACTTACCATTGAAAGAGAACATTGGAGCATAATCAATGCATCCACAACCATCAAACGAAGCTAGTAGTGCTGAGGAAATGTGGGGCAAGCATGCCTTCAGCTTTGCATGTTGCATGGAATACCGTTGCATGCGCTGCAGCGCATGCTCCTCTATATGAACGTATACGTATACGTGGCACGACAGGTGTAGCGTGAATATCCGACTCCATGAAATGTGGACTCATTGGTAGTACTGTGCACGCGTGAGTACGATACTGTGCTATTTTTAGGATCATTTCGGGAGAGTGACCTGTCACGTGCGAGGGATAGGGGTCCGATTTTCATAGGAGTCGAATTTTCATGTGACACCGGCCCATACGCAAGATGGCCGGCGCGGCCCAATGGGGAAAGGAATTATGGGAAAATGGGGTGGAAATAGCCGGGCCCCGTTCCGCATCCCCCGATGCCAACAGGCGCGATGGGGACAGGAGACCGGTCGGAAAAATGGCAGCGCCCCCGAATCATTTTCGCGATTGTAGTATAGATGAGCACCTGAGAGGCGCATATATAGCATCTAGCCTTTGGTCAAGGCGCGCGTGGCTACCTGGATGCAGCTGGCGCTAAACACTGCATAATAATTGTATTCTTAGATTTCATGAGAATGATAAATTTGTCTTTTTTTTAAAGATAAAATACTAACCTACTCTGCATTGCTTTTACAAACAGTATCGTTTATTTTTTTTTGTCTCAAAAATCATGCATGGGACAGGAACATAAAAAATGCAGTTCTGTTTCTGCCTCTTTCAGACAGTATGGGCAAATACGTTTATTCTAAGCCAGTATACCTTCCAGTCAACAATCTCCATAAGTCATAATCTACAAGCAGATTATGAGCTGAGCATCTAAATTTAGTCAAATAATGTCTGAATTCAGGATATTTAGCCAAAAAAGAAAAATGTATAGGGACCTATTTCCATCCGGTAGGTTCTCAGTTTATTTTGTGGCTACAAGTTCCTTTAGTATCGTTATGTAACATACCAGACCAGCTACAAATAAACTCATTACGTTACTCTTCTACAAATTTATCACAAAGAACACGCTGATTATGAGGCCCATACAAACTCAAGGGAGCATTTCATTTAACCAAATCATAGGTGTTTTTTGTTTACTTCAGAAACAAAGAAATCCTCCCCTTATTCCTTATTCCATGTCTTCCATAAAGGCATTATACAAAATAGAATGAGTTGGTTTGTCATTCAACTTTAGCCAGTATTTCGGCAGTGCTCTATGTATGGAGGGAAGCGTCCCAGTTCAGCCAAACAGCATCATTTGCAGTACGGCTATTTACATTCAAAATACATTTGTACCAGTTCATTTGAAAAAAAAAGAAAGTTCTCTTATCACCTTTCTTCCACGTTATTTCAGAGCCATAGTTAAAAATGGGTCTTCATGAGGTATCGACAATTTCCAAAAGTTAGTTTAGGATATAACTCATTGCCAATTTCTTTTCTAATTAAATAAGCTGCATTGTAAGCTTTATATTTACAAGATTTTTAGTAACTAACTCAAATGAACCTGAGGTTGAAAAAATAATCCCTAAATAAAAATAAGAATCAACAATTTCAATGGAGTCTTCATTAATACTCAAATTATTCACGTCTTTTGTTTTAGATAAATCATTGTTAAAAAAATAATGACTTTTGTTTTGTTAACATTTACAATCAGTCTACACGTCTTACAAAATGACTCTGAATCAGCAATGAAATCCCTAATAATAATGTGTCAGACAAAATAATCATATCATCAATAAATTCATATTTCTAGTACCAAGTTTTACACCATGAAAAGGGGCTCTCTCTAGCTCAGTTTCAATATCATTCAAAAATAAAGAATATAGCAGTAGGCTTAATACTGCACCTTGCTGAACACCCATCGTACACTGAAAAAAGAGTACATTGAGTAAGACCATATTTTAACTTCACACAACATTTTACAGATTTATACATTCTTTCCAAAATGTTGAGAGATTTTGTACTGAGACCAAAATTCATTAATTTCCACCACAAAAAGTTACAATCAACATAATCAAATGCACTTTTAAAATCGACAAAACAGACATATAATTTGTTCTTTTGACTGCGACACTTTTGCACTAACGGACATAATGTCGATTGTACTACGTCCTGATTTAAAGCCTGTTTGATTATCTGATAAAATATCTTTTGCCAAATGATCTAAACGATTTCTGAAAACAATCTAAACTTACCAACAGAACTTAATACATTTACACCTCTAACTTCCAGGGTAATTCTTGGGACCCTTTGTATGAATAGGACAAATGAATCCATCTGACCAACAGAAATTAAACAGTTTTGTCACAGCCTGATACCCGTCATTTGCAATGCCACATTCCATATCTGTTCTTCTTCTCTTCGGCCTCAACAAATGATTTCCATGTCTTCCTCTCCGTCTCTTTACATAGTTTTCATCGGGATCAGATAGCTACCTTGGTCGGTGCTTTCACCAATATCTGCCCCCTGGCAAGTTTCCCCCAGGGTCGTCGCCGCCGCGGCGCTCCCGCACCACTCACCGGTAAAGTAAGTGTGTTTGATTTCCGTATTTTGGTCGTTATTCTGGTCATCTTCGCTGCCAGCCTCCGCGTCTGCGTCTTGAGGACAGCAAGGACTGATTGGCGGAACACTCGATGCAGAACTGCCAGGTTCACTTGTCATCAAATCTTCCAACCTTTCAACTATTTGCCCGAAAGAACAACGCATCTTGGACGAATCCTTCCAACAATCCTGCATAATTTTCGATCTGGAAAAAAAAAATCAAACTCTTTTTATTTATAAATTTCTCCAATTTTTTTGTATAACAGTCTGATGACCGTAGTTTTCCCACCGGTAATTTGGAAGTAGCAAGAGTTATTTTCTAACATTGCAAGAGATATGTCATACCGAATACAAGCTACAAGGCGTCTAATTAACCATGCATGGGATTAAACCTGCCACCTTGACATCCGAGATAATCAAAAAGCTGGGACTCAGGGAGTCAGAACTCTTGTGCGATTTATATTTTGACCATTAACATTCCAATCCCTCGGGCACGTCCATAGCTACAACACTGTGACCGCAAGCCCGGACCATTCATCGCGTGACTGCAAGCTAGACTATACTATACTATACTATTTTATTTCTCAGGAATAAATCAACAAATACATGTAAACAAATGACTAAAGTTACAACACAAAAAAACAAAAGCTTTAGATACATAAACAAACAAACAAAAACAAAATACCATTCAGCTCCCGAAGGATTGCCCAAAAGAAACATTGTTTCTGTCTAGGGGTTCTCCAAACTGACTGGCAAACGTGAAAACAACAAGCAATAAATATAAAAAGAAGTTTTAACTATACAAAAAAAAGTTAAATAAAGTTACATTAAGTTAAGAAAAAGGTTGGTAAATTATATAATTATTAGACAAACAAATCAAAAGCAAAAAAAAAAAAATCAATTACTAGGTAAATTAAATGAATAAACAAATTAATATATACATTGTACTTCAACTAGATAAATAAATAATTAGACAAGTTGGCAATTTAGCCTAATTAAGTAATTAATTAATTAAATAAGTAGGTAAATATTGCATTTCTAATTCTTTAAATAAATAGTTGAATAAATAAACAAAAATTACAGTCTTACAATAAAAAAAAAAGATTTATAAATAATAAAATGAAGTTTTAATTATATGAAGGGGTTGAAGAAGGTTCGATAAATAAGTTCAATAAAGTGTACAGTGTAGAGCAAAGCATGTAAACTATATGATTATTAATTGTATTAATGAAGTTTGAATACTATAACAAAATCGATGAAATCAAATCAATATCAATCAAATCAAAATCAAGCTGACGATGATCGTCGCCGCCGTTTTAGTTGGTAACCAACAACCTCCCTATATGCTGTATAATAAGTCATGTCATGTCGTTGCTCTTTTTTGAAAAATATATTTTAGGACAAGATAGGTTTTAACAACTGCGCAGTTGTAAGATGTGAGTTGAATTCAAGTTATCGCTGTGCAGTTGTTGATCCTTGAAAGCACTATCTGTTCCGATAATTAGATATTTTTTTCAGAAACCGGCGTTATCATGTCTTTTCGGACATTTTAACTGGTATAAAGATTCATACTCAAAGTAGAGAGCATTTTGTTCGTCATGAAATTATTGTTTCAGTGATTATTCATTTTTGGCGATGTATGACAACTGCGCATGCGTATTTATCATGGTACTATAGTGTCTACAAAGCAAGGCAAACTCTTTCTTCTATAGCATTACTGAGCACGGATCTCTATTGTGTAGAGATTAGTGTAGCAAGCTGGCCGCCAAAAGCTTTCTATTGTTGTTACGCTTCGAGCGCGGCGACCATCCTTTTACTTATGAAGTCTTGGACTCGGAGTTCGAACTCCTTGGGTCCTAGCTCTATGAGATAATGTATCAGGCTTGACTCGGCAATAGATTCTTTGATGTTAAGACGATGAATTGGTTTTAAATGGGTACAATATTATAACAAAAAAATCTTACATCTTTATCGGGCAGAACGTGGGTGGACTCATCCGCCCACCCTCCTTGAGATACGGGTAGATATCCTTGTTGTTGATGCTAGGATAGGGCTTCTTTCCTCGCGAAAATATTTCCCACATAAGTACACCGTACGACCACTGCCAGAAGAACAGCACATTCAAAATATTCTATTTTTAATTCGGAGCATGAAAAGTGTGTTTGTAAACACACTTTTTTAAAACTTAGAAAAAAAATTAGAGTAGACTAAAAGAAAACATAAAATTATCATTTTGCCTGTAATGGAAACAATGGGCTCTGTGCGCGAACTATAGAGAGGGCGCTTTTTGACCACTTTTGATAGACTGGTCCACCCTTAAAATATGGCTTACTATTGGAAACGAGTTGGAAATAAAGTAAGCACTGGGTACGAGGTTGACCTGCCCCCATATTTGAAGTCCACAGTACAGTGGGGACGGGGAACCAGACTAGGCTATCCCGAACAAGAAAAATGTTTACGTTCACAGCGCCAAAACGTGGCCCAAGTTCGCGCGCGTATGTCGCGCAAAGTACGCACGACTAATTTTGTCCTAAATGTGCACAAAGCCATTCGTCGGGCGTTATCGGCAATGCGTTCGAATGCCTTTCCCATGGTCTCCCGCCAGCTCTCCCTTTTTATACCGTTGAGCCGTTGATGGGGTACTTGTGCACGGAACCCATATAAAATGTTTGATTTGAAACTCACCACATCAGTTTTGGAGCTGTACTTCCTGCGTTCCATTGACTCTGGTGCCATCCATTTGATGGGTAACTTGGCCTGTTTGTCCCCGCTGGTGTAGTAATCGGACTCGTCCAGATCACGCGACAGACCAAAGTCCGCGATCTTAACTACGAGTCTATTATCGACCCTGCATGCAGAGGAGGATATGAAGCATTAGCCTTTCGGCGGACACAATAAGGGGGCGTTGATCTGAGGCACTGCTCTGCGATCGCGATCAGACCTACATGCAGCCCGGCTGATTGGACCGATTGACCGTTTACCAGGCGACCGGATGAAAGCAAACATGTTTGATTTGTTTTGCATCCAATTTCACTGAATTTCGATTATATTATGACTTTGTACACCCGCTTAACCAACACGCGCTCTGACATTAAGAAATGTGGCAAAACTGGTAACAAGTCTATCCCCATCGCAAGACATTTCAACCTCCCGGATCACACTGCTTATAACATATCGATTTAAGGCATGGAGCAATTAAGGAATTTCTCACATAATACGATCCTTGACCGAGAGTCCTACTGGATGGCCATATTACGTACATTGACCTCCCCCCCAGGTATTAATGTAGACGAGTATATAGGTCTACAGACAGACAGACAACAAGACCGACAGACTGACAGACAGACCGACAGACGGACCACCAAACAAACAGACCACCAAGTGACATGTAGAAGCTAGATCTGCCAGGGCTTAAAAAGGGAAGAACAAAAACAAAAGATTTTCCGCTTTTGAGCGAAAAGCCAACCAAATGAGAACAAAAAACAAAGGCTTCTGCTTGAAGCGGAAAAGCCAAAAAAACCCAAAAACAAATAGATCTATGTCTGATCGATAAACAGAGCATAGGGCTTTTCTGCTTTATGATGATTTTTTTACGAGTTTATGTCACGAACATAGTTCCATGGAACATTGGCTGTTTTGGCAAATCTTGTAGTTCTTTAGAAGTTCTGGGAATTATATGCACCTGTAAAAGGAGATATCATGACCCATGATAACGTCATTATAACGTCATCCTAAGTTTTACTTATAACACATCCACGTCTAAGTACATACCTCGTTTTAACCCAATCGCACTTGTGCTCTAGATAAAAGGTTTTAAGGCATGCAACGTCACATCCCCGTCCTTGACTATGTATATGCAAAGTTTAAACCTAATCGGACCTATGTTTCTCTAGATATAGGTTTTTTTAAATGTGCATCTTTAAGATGGCGTATCATGACATGTGATTACGTCAGTATTACGTAACTCATCAGTGCACACATTTACTAATAAAGACGTTTACAAAGTCTATGGGATTGTGGGATGGAAGTAACAACAAAAAGATAGGAACACAAACAAAGGCTTTTCCGTAACTTTGCGGAAAAGCCAACAAAGAACAATCATCAGAACAACTCTAAACACCGCACCGACCACTCAATAATTAATACTCACATGCAGTTTCTAGCCGCCAAATCTCTGTGGACGAACCTCTGCCGACCCAGATATTCCATTCCAAGGGCCACGTGATAAGCGAACTGTATCAGCTGTGAGTTGCTCACTCTCTGCCATTAAACAAAGAAAGGAAATCGAAAAATGTTATGATCTCCAATAACAGCAATAATACGAACGATGTAAAATTAGGACAAATTCAAAAGAAATAAAAATGTTAGGATGTAAAACTAAGTCGATGAGTACAACAAATATACCTGCTTTTGCTTCATTAAGAAAGTCTTGAGATCACCGTTTGCCATGAATGGAATCACGATGAGTGGCTGCTCCTTCGGGTCAAAGGTCAATCCCAACAGCCCCAGTACGTTGGGATGATCGAAGGTTTTCATAATTAATCCTTCCTCCAGAAATTTGATGATTTTATAGGGGTCACTTGTATCTGGAAAGAAATATGAACCATTTCTAGGGATTATATTGGTGAAAAACATAATTTGCTCTCTTTAGTACAGATGACACATCCTATTTATTTGTAAAAAAAAACCCCAGTTATTGTATGACATTCACAAATGCCTAAGACAGTGTACCCATTCCTATTGGCCAAAGGCCGTCACGTGGTCGGTCTTAAAAGATTGATAAAACACCGGCTAGCTGGTCTTAAACACTTTCCATTGTCACATGAAATTTTGACTCTGGTCCATTTTACCATTTTTTTGGTTTAACGTTCACAATCCTCGGTTATGCATGCACAATACAACCAATGTGTCAGTATTTTATAGTCCTAAATTCACATGACACCGTACCGGCACAGCTGTGTTGTGCGCCACTCGCACGCGCCAATCTCCGTATAAGGAGTTTAACGACTTCTCGCGAGATGCAAATATCTTAACATAGATATAGAGGGGTGTTTCAAAACACATGAAATAAACTTGCTTAACGAAATCATTGGAAATTTATATTTTTTTGATTTGTTTGGTCTATTTGACCGAAAAGGTATTTATAAATGGGAATAAATGTGCTTGGCCGGTATTCAACAATATGTTTAAGACCAGTTTGGGTAAGGCCAAAAAAAGGGTCCGGATTTTTGGTCAGTGCGCGCGTCGCCGTAGCCATGCGCGTCTGCAAAATTAAAACCTTTTTTTTTTCAATGTAAGATGATGTCTCAAAACCGCCAAACTCACTGGTTTGACTGGAATCCTGCTGCTGGACAATTTGGACGTGTTTTAGTTGGAGTAGATGTTTTTTAGATCGAGTATGAGCTTTATGTGGCCTCTCTGGGCTCCCATACATTTTGCACTAAATTTAGTCGGGCACCTTTTGCAGACGGTGTGAAATTTTGTGATTGTGCGTTCGGAAGCCAGACTGATGGAGTGATGATCGTGTATCTTGAACCTGTAAACGCTTTTTAATTGGCACAATGTGTAAGGGAGCAGACTAATGACCAGCCTGGGCAGCACATATACATGTATGATGTCGTTGTGGTCTGACTAGACCGGTTTTTTTTCTGATTTTTCCAAATTTCCGGAAGAATATTCGTGTCGGTCGAGATCGTAAGTGGGTGCAGAATTCTCAAGCCTTATGGCCTTACTGAGGTCATTTCAAGCTCCACTCTGATGGATATTTTTGATAGTTTTAGGGTGTAGAAGCGTCATCTGCAACATTAACATCAGCCGACATTTAAAGTAGGGGGAAAAGAGTAGGGGGACAAAACAAACCGCGTTGAGGCACCACTTTTGGGGCAAGCTCCATACTAGAAACCGGAGACCTTTTTTGTGTGGTCTAAACCGGTCTTAAACATAATAGTGTTTAAAAACGGGCAAGCACACACTTATTCCAAAATTAATAAAAAAATTCAAGCACTATTTCAAACATAATCAATCAATACTGACAAAAATATGGGGTTATAGATAAACGTTAAACGATCTGAAAACCAGATCAATATAAGACCAAGAAAAAAGGCTCCGGTTTCTGGTATACGCGCGTCGCCGTAGCCATGCGCGTCGGCAAAATTCAAACGTTTTTTTTGTTCAATACAAAATGATGTCTCAAAACCGCCCAACTCAGTGGTTTGACTGGAATGCTGCTGCTGCACAATTTTAACGTGATTTAGATGGGGTTATGATGAGTATAAGCTTTATGTGGCTTCTCTGGGCTCCCATATATTTTGCACTAAATTTAGTCGGGCACCATTTGCAGTCATCAGCCGACATTTGAAGGAAAAACAAGTAAAAAAAAAAAAAAAAAGTCGCGTCGCCTCACCACTTTTGGGGCAAGCTCCATACCAGAAACCGAAGCCTTTTTTTGGCATAAGATCCAGCTTTTGAAAGTTTTCCAAAAGTGAATAAACAAAACTGATTGACTGAATTGATTCAAAGTGGGCTAGTGGGACATGATCCTTAAAGGCCTAATCGTTTAACCAGACTTTTGGAAGTGGTAGGGCCTATACCTTGTACAGTTTTGACTGCCACTGTGCTCTGCACGTCGCTAGGGGAGGAATCTGTGAGCACTGCTTGGTAGACTCGGCCAAAAGCACCTGTTAAGAGATAGGAACTTTAAATAGTTGAATTTTCAAGTTGTAGCAAGTTCTTATGTTCTGCAATGTTGTTAGGCTGAACATCGTAGTTCCAATCAAACCCGGAACCTTTGCTTGGATCGTTTCATCAAACCCTTTTTTGTCCAAATATTCCTGTTTCTTACACAAGTATATTATGTATTTCAGCATACTTCTTGGAATCAGAGAAGTATTTTCCGCAAAAGGGTTCCTCGATGAACGAGCTTGTCACTATTTTATCGAAAGATCTGGAATCTACAAGTCTAAAAAACTTCAAAGGGGCGGATCTAGCTTTCCAGAAACGAGGGGGGGGGGAAGAGTGTTATGAAGGCTGAGGGGAGTCGTGCGTATGCCCCCCCCCCCCGAAAACATGTTGAAATCTACGATGCTTTCTCCTGCATTCTAATACAAAAGTTTAGGAACTTTAGTTTTCCATTAATTATTTTTTGGCTCCATTTTAGTATAGGTTTTCCCAGCCAATTTCCTGAAATGTTCATTCCATTCTGGAAATCGGTCATTCAGTTCGTCTGAATTTGAATGCACGTCTTTAATCCAAGTTCAATTCAACGAAACTTCAATCGTTTTCATTGTCCGTGCATTCGGTATTGAGATACAGACGACCAATTACGTTACCTGTGCTTTCATTTACGCAAGCATACCTTTTCTAAATTGATTTCAGGTACAGCTAATTTGACTGACGGTTAATAAAAAAGAAACCCCTAATTGTATCTCGTGCCAATGGCATTAATCTAAAATTGAAATAGAATGGTGAATGTTTGAAATCGCCCTCTAAAAGCATAAAAGAAGTCTTATCAGCGAATCTGAATGGATATAAACGAAAGGCGCTGCCCAACTACATAGTTGAATGAACCGAAATGCAATCGAATGCTCTGGTAGCGCAAATGAAACGCGTGTTCAGAGAGATTCTCAAATTCAGACGAAAATGAATGACCGATTTTCAGAAGTGAATTAACATTTTAGGAAATTGGCCGGGAAAACCTATAGTATATTAGTCAGCTGCTGAACGGGAGCGGGGGAAGGGGGGGGGGGCTCAACCCCGTCACCACTCCCAAGATCGGCAACTTGATGCACATCCTCTTGAAAGGCCCAAGACAATGTATCTTTTGAAATTTGCCTCATCACAAAACAAAATCCTGTCAGAAATTACACAAAAGATTTTAAATTGGTTTGCTGGCTCACCATGTCCGAGCACTTTTCCCATGCTCAACTGATCGAACCTGATCTTTAAGTCATCGGGAACAATGCTGATGTTCTCGTTCAGGACGATAGCACTCGGTCGTGCCGTTCGTTTTCGACGCTGTGATGCAATTCGGCTGCGTTTCTTTATAGCGGCTGGGGAGAGAAGTTGACTCCGATCCACGGACTCAAAAATGATCTCTGGAAAGTGTGGTATAACAAAAAGAAACCTCGTTTGATATCCCGAGCTTAGGACTTGGTTGAAATACGGCAAATTGTGCTCAATGCTCAATATTTATTCACGGGCTCAAGTTGCATACCATAAATGATTGCGGTGTTATAAAATGGCGCATGTATTCTGTTTCTGATTGTTTCACAAGAAGATTGACATGATACGAGCTACATGTACATAAACTATCTAGTGTGCTGGTTCAGAGTTTTTGAGTCTTATCTATGATTTTTTTGGGATGAAACAAAGAACCAATTTGCGATCCCCTCGCTATAAATCCCTTCATCTTATATTTTGCCCAATTCGGTCTCATTCTAACCCCTTCTTATAACACCTCACCCACAGATTCTGTATCTTGATTGGCCGAGAGCGAGTCACATGGCATTCGATATTTTTGCTATCTTGCTGTGCACGGCCACACGTACTATGGGCTCCGTGCGCCAAAACAAGAGGGCGCGTTTTTACCACTTTTGAGAGCCCCTTGGACGGGACGCGATTTATTTTTCCATACCACACGCGTGCTACTATATAGAATTATGCTACTACCTCATCGATCGAGTCACTGTCATGGATACCACATTGGATTACAAATCCGATGGTGTAAGTTCGATTCCCAGAGGATGCTATTTTAATTTCTTCTTCTTTACTTCTTTTTTTTCTCTTAAAAAGGTCTGTTTATAGTCATTTGGAACATTTTTCTTTTACCAATATGTGGTTTTGGAGGATTTTTTTTAAGGGAAAATAAAGTCCAAGAACCTGACTTGCAACTCAATGTACAGACGAGACACCGTGTGCGTATGGGACTAGCCTTTAGTCAAGTCCTGCGTAGCTATACCCAGACGTATAGCGCCCCGGTTCGCTCGTACCCCCGCCCTGCAAACAGGACGCTGGCCATACTCTGATGAGCTTCACAGAATCTTTTCAAGGAAGTGGCCTATAATTATATGACCTATGTATAACGCAGTGCGTTCATCTTCAACCACATGAAGGCAGCACTAAGAAGGAAGAAGAAGAAGAAGAAGAATCTGGCTACAGCTGTTTAAGAGCGCAGTTAGACAATGTGCGCAAATGCTATCCGAAAACTTCCCATAGATGTGATGGGATGTGATTTCTGTTTCAATGCGGACCATGTGGAGGAAACTTTCAGCGTCGCATAATGCAATCCGACCGTTCGTGATTCGAAACGGAGCCAAAGCAAATGACGGGAATTCTCAATTCACAACACAGATAAGTTTTACAGAATTTCCTACATTATTACGCTTTTCAAAAAAAAAAAATCTCTAAACTGGAATAAAAGAGGAATGAATCAGTCTTAACGGCCGTTTCAAACCTTGCAGAGTCATGACCGTGTGACGCGCAGGTCACGCAAAATCCAACCAATCAGAGCGTGAATTCATGGTTCATAATATCCGCATATATATACATGCATGATTCATATTACTTGAAAATAATGAATAAATGATTAGCTCCACGAGATGCATAAAGGCGGTCGTGGCTCAACCTCGTTCCCAATGGCAACCTCGTTCCCATTGGTACGAGATCTTGCTTTCGCTCGTACCCCCCGCCCTGCAAACAGGGCGCTGGGAAGGGCAGATGAGCTTCACAGAATCCCTCGAAGTGGGGATGACATTCTGGGTAATTTATCATGACCTATGTATAAAGCATCTGGCTGCAGCTGTAGACCGCGGTTAGCCAATGCGCGCAAATACTATCCGGTGTCACGGTCTCACTTCTCCGGCGTGCTGGATTCTCCGGGTGAATGCGGCGGATAATTGAGCACGTTACAGTGCACGTTACATAAGCACGATACATGCTCATGTGTCCGCTGTGCTTACTTTTCCTCGGGCTGTGTTATGGAGTCTACCAAGTCCATAACACAGTGAGAGACACCCAAGAATGTGTTATGTAACACTTCCTGTGGGTCAAGCTTGAGAGGAGTATGGTCATTCCCTGTCATTCCATGGTCTTGCGCAATTACTCTGATTTGTGTTCCCAGCGTCGTTTGTGTGTGTGTTCATGGAGGAATAATTAAGAACGAACTCCTTGGTCTGTGCAAGGTGTGTTCCTTGCTCGCTCGTGGTTGTCTTTATTTTTGCAACCAATGGTTTAAAATAAATGTGTATCCTTCACGTTTTTACATGTATTGGGAGTTGCGTGCGCCACGAAAATTCTGGATTCGACTGGTACCTTGTAATGTATACATTTGTACACTCAAATATCACGTTCACCAGTACAACCCAAAAGAATTCAGCACACAAATAAAGTTGGCGAAATGTACACTACTGCGCAATTTGCGCATGCGTGTTGAGACGAAATTTCCCTCTGCGGAGAAGCTAGCATGCCGGAGAAGTGAGACCGTGACACCGGAAAGTTTTCCATAGCAATGTACACACACCATAACGGATGTGATTTCTTTTTCATTGCGGACCATGTGGACACATTTTGAGCGTGGAATGATATGCATTTCGACCCTTCGTGAATTCGAAACGGAGCCTGAGCAACTAACGGGGGTTGAAAATTTACAAAACAGATAAGTTTTACAGATTTTCCTACACTATTATCCTTTTCAACAAAAAAAGGGGCGCCGCATTTATGAATGAGAATAAAAGAATGACGAATGACTCAGTCTTAACGGCCGTTTCAAACCTTGCAGGGTCGTGGCCGTGACGCCTTGCCGGTCACATGTCACGCAAAATCTATCCAATCAGGGCGTTAATTCGTCAGCCCTTCCCAGCGTCCTGTTTGCAAGGCGGGGGTACGAGCGAAGATCTTTCTGCGCCATGTTATTTCCCATCATGCCTTGCGCGATCTGGGAACTCGCTCGCGCCCATGGAGTCGCGGCTGGTCGTGGTTGCTATGGGGGGGGGGGGGGGGGGGTGCTGGGACATCTCATGGGAGGGGGGTCATGTAGATCAATGATATTTTTTTAGAAACTCAAAATCTCAGTGGGAGGGGGGGGGGCGACTGGGGGGGGGCGACAAGGTTTCATGGGGGGGTTGTCGCCAATGCATGGATCACCTCGGGAGGCTTGTTTTACTACATCACTCAAAGCAGTCAATATTTGTACTGGCGTCAAAATAGCACAAAATATACGAAATGGATCTATAGCTAATTTGGATCTTCCTAAATAGACAAACAGTGAACATGTACTGTAGTTCGTGTCTGAAATATACATTATGATGAGTATAGGCCTAATTGTTTACACTTGCATGCAGTCGAAGGGTGTATCAGTTACTGCTAATATTATATCTGCACCGTACTGTCTTACCACATGATGTAGTTCGTGTCTATAAATACATTTTGATTGATGATTATAAAAAAAATATATATTAATATTGTTGTCCATTATTATAATTGTCCATGCAATCGAAGGATGTACCAAGGGACATATCACTTGTTACTGAAATATATCTGCACTGACAGAAAACGTTTGGAATCATGTTATAAATGGTGCCTTGGATTGAACACACCTGTTTTTCATGATTTGATTTTGGGCACAAACACTTGTCCATTTTTCGAAACTCGGAGGAAGACTTGTAAAATGTAACCGAATGGATATTACATTGTTGTAAACCATACACCTTACATGGCGTGGTGAAACATAATTCACAAATATTGACTGCTTGGAGTGGTGTAGTAAAACTAGCCTCCCGGTAGTGTTGGATGATTGGGCGCCTCGGGAGATAGTCTCAATCATTCAACACCGTACCTTGGGGTCATTAGTTTTGACTATTTCCCCCACAAACGATGTTGTATTTGTATATAAGCAACCATTGCCTAGTCTCCGCATGTATTGATGTGCTAGAGGTTCATGTTGTTTAGCCAAGGAAGGAATAAAGATTTTTGTATATTTAGTTCTCTCTCGAATCTTGGTATTTTTAACATACTCTTATTCTAAAAGAGAAAATATGTTTTTTGGGGTGTGGTTTGAGAATAATAATATATTTGTCGAAACTGTAGTTTTTTTGGGACGCAGGATGCGTGGTCGTTTATAAGATATCTAACCTAAACAAATGAAAACGACTTTACAGCTGAAAATGTCACTTGCTGGTTAAAACTTACTAGGATGTTTTAAGATTGAGGAATATTCTTTGCAAAAGCTTTGCCACAATTACTGAGTTAGACACAAATCTCTCACTTGTTTTATGACTTTTTATCGAGAACTTGAACAATTCGATTTTTAAGCGTCATTATAGATTCCTGCAAGAAACAGATTGGAATATATACAATAGAACTTCGACGGTTCAAATAATGGTGTAAAGCATGCAAAAGGAAATACAAGACAAACCTTTGTAGAGAGCTCTGATCTGCGTTAAAAGAAGAACCTCGTTGTTGCTCTTCATCCTGAGTGTCTGTCTGTAATACTTGACCACTAGGAAGAGCAATAGGAAGAGTAAGCATGCTGCTGCTGGTGGGACGACATAAACAGCGAGAACGAAAAGCCAATCCGTTTCCATCTTCACAGCGATGACTGCTTGCTCGAGGCTACCAGCAAAATTCTGAAGTACAATGTGAAAATGATCACAAAAGTGAAAAGCTACTTCAAGTTAATTCCAACACAAGTATAAAGCTGGTCACTGAGCGCACAATTCTTGCGCACAAAGTGTTTTCATGCATGCATGTGGCCTACACAATTTACCAGATTTAGCCCCGGGTAATCCTATATGATAGCACTGCCCAGCCTCTCCACCAGTCCACAACCAGTCTAATTCATAAGTGACATTCAGAGAATCAGTCCGTAAGATGGGCACAAGGAGGACATTTAGCTGGCTCTCTGGGACCAGCAAAATTTAAAAAGCCACTTTAAGTTAAAAAATAACCAATGCAGCGTAAAACTAAAAACCTAGTCTCTAAATGTAATGGTTTTTCACTATTTTACATTTAGAGATTAATAAGCTGTTTGAAAGATAGCTGTTAAGCATTCGTCTGACCACCTTATTACCTACTATAGCAGGCGCGGATAAAGAGGGGTGGGGGGGGGGGGGTGGGGTGTGGGGGGGGGGGGGTCTCGAACCCCCACTGCTCTGACTCAATTTTTTTGTTCATAGAAATACAAATAATGTTACACCCCCCCCCCCCCCGGCTCCGACACCATCAAAATTATTGTGGTAATAATATCCGTCTGTGCACGAAAATCGGACAAAGCCAGCTGGGTTACAGGGGTATTTCTACACTATATATTCTGTATTATAGTGTTAATAATCGTCGGATTTGAACAGCGGTCCATTGAAAGTATGGTACGAGCCCCCCCCCCCCCCCCCCCCCCCCCGTCTACATTTCAGCATTGATTTGCTGATCAAACCCACCTGCAACAATTCCTGGATCCGCCCCTGTATTATTTCAAACTGGTGTTACGCCACAAAGGAGAAAAACAATTGTGAATGCATGTAGTAGGGCCTCCAAATGGGCCGTGCAGTTTTGTCCGGTACACGGCAACAAACCGTCGACGTCGCATGCGCCTAAACTCGGAGAGTTACACGTATGTACTTGTTTTTCAAAAGGGTTAAACTTACTGTGGATGTGTAGCAGGCTCCAGATACAAGCATCAACTCATCCAGGCTGTCACTGGGCAAGCTATAGAAGAAAATACTTTCCAATTTGGGTCATGTAAGTAACATTAATTCCTTCACGGTCCTCATGATGTATATACATGATGCATACTTATAGAAGTGACATTGAAAATGCTAGCCGTCAAATCATACAATTCTACACTGTCTGTATTTACTTTCTCCTACTTCCTGGTTCATGGCATGGTTATGCCTGAGTGAAGCTGCATTCCAGCAACACAAAGATAACGTTTAGATATTAGGCCCCGGTTCAGAAACTCTTAAAACGAACGTCCTACTATGAGGGAATAATCCTCAAGCTTTATTTACGTTATAAAAGTAAAATGATATAGTTACGTAAAACAGTCACAAAGAAAAGGTAAAATTTAGAACAAGAAACAATTATTAAATAACGTCATAGGAAGATTAGAATATCAAGGAACGATTGAAGACTACTCCCAGAAGACAACACTGCCAGCAACTCAATTGAAAAGAAATTATACTTAGCATCGCGTGACATATTATTTAACCAAGTGTTTCAGTTAGTACTATAATTCGTGTCTTTATTAACAAAACAAGACATGCATGTGTACCGAAAGCCTAGGTCATAAATGTCACAATCACAGGATTAATTGAATAGCAAAGTGAGAAGACGGTAAGGCAAGGCAATAGAACTGGAAACCCATTATTTAAGAGGAAAAAAACACGAATCGATTAAAGATACACAATTTAATGAACGAAAAATTGATCAAGGGAACTGGAACTGGTCATGAAGTTCAGAAGAAAGACTAGAGGGATCATTCATCCACTCTGTCGATCCAGACTGTTGTATAATTATTTGGAGTAGAATATTACAAAAAAAGACACCATAGCTATTTTGGAGAGGCGAGTGATAGATTTGTTGATTTCTTGTTTGGTTGGGGTAACTGAACCTCGGCTTCCTACTTCAATAGCTATGAATGTGCCGTTGAAGCCCATTTGAGTTATAAATGTCATGAACAAGATTGGTGTATTTACGGCACTTATAGGAATGGCTTTTTTCAAAGTTGGTCTCAGATGGCACTGTTAGTTCAACGATTGTGAAGTCCTGAACAAGCACTGAAAAGAACGATTAGCGTCGATATGACGACAGGATGATAAAAGTAAAACGATTTGAATTTCAACATTCAATAACAAGATGTGCATATACGTAAAAAGCTGTTGTTTACAGACAGGCACAGGATCGGGTTGGGGGTAAAACCCCCCAGCTCTGTCAACAATTGTTTTTTTTCATATAAATTTATTAAAAATGATGCGACCCCCCCCCCCCCCCCTGCTCCTACTGGTAATAACGTCCGCCTGTGCACAAAATGCGGACAGAGCCAGCTTGGTTATGGGGTATATATATGTACCATATATTCTGTAGTATAGTGTAAATAATCGTCGGATTTGAACAGCGCATCCATTGAAAGTATGGAACAAGCCCCCCCCCCTTATTGATTTGTGGAGGCCAAGTGTCCGGAGAAAAAAACCCCTGTGTACATTTCAGATTTTTTTCGCTGATGAAACCCCCCCCCATTTTGTCCTGGATCCGCCCCTTGACAGGACAGCATTCAGTCAAGGCAGCAAGGAAAAAACAGTCGTTTCCGATATTCAAACCCACACACGGAGATCAGGCTAACAAGTGCATGACAATGAAAAAGCTGATCATCGGATATGTCTGTTATTCTAATCATGCGAACCAGATTACGTCGATACATATAATTTATGTACTGAGGCCACCAACCAGGAACATTCAGGAATTATTATTTCATTTCGTTTGCTCTCGCGCGTGATATAGCTGCATTCACGCGGCACTTCGCCATCGATCACGATCTTCCTTGGAGTTCTCTAAATTCAATCTGCTTTTCTCGGAGATACGACTCAGAACGAGAACGGCGAGCTGTCGATTGGACTCAGAATCCTAGTAAGTTGATTGTGTTTATATAAAGGGTACGTTATTTTATTTTAACTATTCGGAAATAATACTAAAAGTTCATCGTTATAAAAATAAATGTAGCGTGCTAACGAAGCCACGGATCATTGTGATGGAAGGAAGAGATTTTACTACTTTTTCTTGAGCGATCGTTTGAAACCAAAGCTTTATGAAAATTTGACATTTTAAAACATTGATACATTGCTGGAGGGCTTTTAAGAAGGACGGACACATTCCTTTGAAGTATTGTTATGAATACAATAATCCAGAGGAACATTCGTGCACATAATATGCCTTCAAGTGTCTTTCTCCCTCTCTTGCGCATTCTACTCCCTGATCAGCCTCAAGCGAGTTTACTGTACGTTGCAGGGTGAGCAAAACAGTGTCTTGACTGGAGGGGGAGGGGTCGTCCCCTTGAGACTTGTGCTCTCTTGTTTCCCCCGCTCATTTGAGGAAAATAAAACAAAGATTTTTTAGAGGATGAAAACATGCGTGTCGCGAGGGAGGGAGGGGGTCGCTTACCCCCCCCCCCCCCCGAAAAGCAAAGGAAAAAAGAAAGAAATGTGGAGTCATATTTGCTGTTAATTTAATACACATTTCACAAAACGGGCGTCTGCAGGGGTGTCAATGGGGGTGGGGTGGGCAAATGTCCCTCGTCCTAGATAAAATGATAAATTGAGAATATGCTAGTGAAAGTACAAGGATTTTTGGGGAAAACTATGCTTCTCCCTAGGAAAAAAATCCTGGCGACGCCCATGGGTGAAAACCTGTTATACGTACCCCTGCGGACAAGAAGACCGTCCTGTTCCCCTCCCAAGTTGTATCCCAAATACACTACTGCAGCGAAATTTACTGGATTGCAGATCACAGATTCGCCAAGGAATCGAATTAGCTTTCAAGATGGACCAAGCTACAGCGGGGGTCCTTGTCTGCATCATTGCGCTCCAAGGGCTTCTCTTTGTGGCAGTCGTAGCTGTTCTCCTGGCCAAATATTACAGGGTCAATCTTGTGCTGAAGAGTTACTACGAGATTATGCTGTTAATTCGCATCAGAGCAATGCACAGAGGTGATGTCTTTTGCTGGTCCTTTAGAGTCACTGACTGACTTACTGACTGACTCCCCGACTGATTGGCTGACTGACTCCCCAACTCCCCGACTGACTGACTGACTCCCCGACTCCCCGACTGACTGACTCCCCGACTCCCCGACTGACTGACTCCCCGACTCCCCGACTGACTGACTCCCCGACTGACTGACTCCCCGACTGACTGACTCCCCGACTGACTGACTCTCCGACTCCCCGACTTAGACTGACTGACTCCCCGACTCCCCGACTGACTGACTCCCCGACTCCCCGACTGACTGACTCCCCGACTGACTGACTCCCCGACTGACTGACTCCCCGACTGACTGACTCTCCGACTCCCCGACTTAGACTGACTGACTCCCCGACTCCCCGACTGACTGACTCCCCGACTCCCCGACTGACTGACTGACTCCCCACTTTTCGTATTTACAAAGGAAAGAAAGGACAAAATAACAAGTCAATAACCAAGAGTTGCACTTGAAATAAAAAAAAAATACATCGGTTTTTAGTGTGATCAGCTATTTCGTAGCTGAGCTTTACCAGCTCAAATTAAATAAACTTATTATTGGCGCCCTTGACCTACCAATCAAAACTGAGGTTTTTCGTTGTACAAGTGAGGCCTATACAATCTGACAAGGAAGTCATTTTGAAATAATAAAAACGTATGACGAATTAAAATAAACAGTGACATCCTGACATAGGCCACTTTGCGTGACATTTTGTTTTGTGGATATTTATTTTTCAGAAATGAAACCGGAATCTTATCACAGAAGGAAAGCCAATCAATCTTATTTCATTTGAACGAGGAAATTTAATTCAAAGCTTGTCCTTGTCTCTTTATGCAGTGTTTGCTCCATCTATAAAGTTACCGAAAATAACCATTTACAGCGCGAATGCGAAGGCGCTATTAGGTTTGGGGTAAATAATGGGTTAAGAGTTTGCCCAAACCAAACTGCGCCCTCCATAGTGACTGCAATAAAAATAGATTCGTTTATTTTGAATTGCTCTTTTTCTAGCAGTATCAAAGTTATTCAATATTGAATGAGTTATCGAGGGATAAAATCCTACGACTTTTAGTTCTTGAATTATTTTTTCATAAAAGTTGAATTATTGGCTGCCATGCGAGACAATAATTCGGCTCTGGCAGGGTGGGTTCATTGTGCACGAAATTAAGTACACTTGGCAGAGGGTTGCAGACGCACCAAATTGAAAACAGTGTAGGTTTCTTGTTTGTTAAAAAAAATACAAATTGAAAACTCATTGTCTGAACGATGATCATATATTACAGTGAATAAAGCGTCGAATGGGCAACAACTAGAGCCGACTGGCCCAACTCTGGGGACAAGCGCCGCCAACGTCCAGCAACCACATCCGGAACCTCAGACCATCGTCCTTGACGATGGAATCAGCATCGCCGCCGATGATGTACAGATCAAGTTCAGCCAGTTACAAATGGAGGATGAACTTGGGCAGGGTAATCATATTAGGAACACTGGCGTATATATGCTGAGAGGCCAACAGGGGCGTGCCCCAAGCCCCTCCCCCCCCCCCAAAAGAAGATGTTTAAACACCGTTAAACCAGAGGATTGAAGAAAAGTAATGTGTATAAATCGATGTTGTAGTCTTCTGATCCCCTTTCCCTTTATGGACACTAAAAAGAAAAGGACAACGAGGAGAGAGAAAAACCTATTGTCAAATGAAGTCAGCTCCCCCCCCCCCTCCTTCCCACTTTTCACTGATGCCGTTATTCAGCTACTTCTGACACAATATTGGGTGTGCCAACTCTTGATTTGGATCTACCCGTGGCAATATGATTAAATAATTAAATAATTCTGATTGTGTTTATCATTTCCGTGTTTTGATCCTGCATGGAAAGTTACCCCAACTGTCACTGTTGCTCACGTTTTTCAGGTGCTTTTGGGACAGTTTATCGAGCCGTCTTCAATAATTGGTCAGCCGGAGAACGAAGCATTGTGGCCGTTAAGACGGTTGAAGGTGTGTGCCAATTTCTTGTCCAACTTAATAGGCTCATGCAT